AACCGACTTCCAGAAAAGCTTCGAGGGGTGGATCAAACGCTGGCACAAGTGCATCGCAGCCGACGGGGACTACTTTGAAGGGGACAACTTGAATTTTGAAGAATAAACATGTACTTTTCTTTTTATGAATAAATTCCGGTTATTTTTTGATCATGGTAGTATATATCATAAACAGGGTGTCTTATTTTAAAACTTCCACTAAAATATTTCAAAAAGACTGCGTTAAATCGACAAATGTTTTAACTCAAAGTTTTATGACTTTGAGAGGGACATAAGATAGTATCATTGATTTGACCTTGGGTTGCATTTTCAAGGTCAGGTCAAGGTCACATCGATTTTTTTTAATGGAACTCTATTTTTTATTGCATCGCCTCTCCGCCAACACCTTAGATTGCGTGCAATGGTAGAGAGGAGCCCCTGCTCCTCCCACCTGCAATCCCGAATTCCCCCTCCCCCGCCTGCTGTGAGGTAGTCTTAGAGACATCCCAACGAGACGAGAGAGGGAATGAACTCACCTCCTTACTTGCGCGAACGCGCAGGTGTCTTTGCGGCTTTAGTTCCCCCCAGGCGGGGGAGTTACCGCACGTCTCCTACGTCTGCCGGCGGGCTGCTCTTGGCGCAGCCGCTCGGCCTCTGCTTTGGCGTCCATGACTGCGTCGCAAAACGCAGTCACAGCACGTCATCCCTCAATATCCCTAATCATCCGCCTTACGACGGACGGCAAAGATAGATCCTGGCCGATCACCGAAGTGAGGGCCGCGTGCTGAAGGTCCCATGCGGGACACTCTTCCGGCGTGTGAGCTGCGGAGTCTAAGTCCACAGTGCAGTGCTCACACGCTGGGGGTTCCGCTCTTCCTATACGGAAGAGGAAACCACCAAAGACCCTATGCCCAGACAGGATCTGAGTGGTGCCAAAGGTGAGCCACCCGTGGCTGCACTCCACCCAGTCTCCGAGCACGGGGCCAATGGCCTCCCTCACACGCTTACCTGGCAAGAGGGGGTTTTCCAATCTCCTCTGCCATTGTGCCACCATGGCCCTGAAGGCCCATGTTCTGATGTGGACGACGTCTACCGGATTATTGTCCCTCGCCTCCTCCCTGATCTCTCGGACGTCCGAGAAGACTCGCACCAGCTGCGCCACCATCAAATCCACCGGTGGGATCTTCGCCAAAACACAGACGGCCTCCAAGTCTACGGTGCGATAAGACCGCGCCAATGAACAGCGGCCATTGGCGCTGCCGCGCGGCTCACCCCGGATGCACGGTACCACACTGGGGCACCGTACATCATTACGGAGTGGACCACGTGCGCGTACAAGCGCCTTACCCCGAGTCTAGGACCCCCGAGATTAGGTAGCAATCCCGCAAGGGCCCTAGCTACCTTCATAGCCTTCGCGGCTACATACTCGAAGTGGGATTTAAAGTCCCACCTCGGGTCTATCTGCAGGCCCAGGTATTTCATGACTGGCTGGGACTCTAGACGGGTAGTCCCAATATTTATGCTGTTATTAAAGACGCCGTGTAACGAGATGGACACATGTTAACACTTGAGCTGTCAATTACTGATTCAATAGCTGTCAATCAGTAATTGACAGCTCAAGTGTTAACATCTCGTTACACGGCGTCTTTAATAACAGCATAATACTAAAGATTTTGATAAAGACCTAAACCGTTGATCGAAACGTAAATCAGATTGTATATATACACATTAACACCTTAAAATAAAAATCACCTTCATCTGCTTACACAACGACATCCGTGTTTGTCTCCAACTGACTCTCATCTGGTTTTTTAATCTACGTTTATATAAAATATAAAAATTATTATCAAATTAAATTAATAATTAATTTTTACAGTCCTTACATAAAAGAACTGAGAAAATTACCAAATTTCAAGATAATAAATTAATGGATTAGAATTGTCAAAAAATAAAACTTAGAGTAGTCAAAAGATAAAAACCTAAGATAGTCAAAATTAGTCAAAAAAAAACAAAAAACTTACATTTAGTTGGAAGACTAAAAAACATAGCAACAATCTCACATTGACACACAACAGCGATCGTCGTCACAAGCGAGACCATCTCTCACGAAGTACAGACAAAGAATGATCGATAAAGCAAAGCAAATCGATACCAAGTCTGAGAGAGACAACTGGTGGGGAGAAGAGAGCAACAAAAAATTTTTTTAAGAATTAAATTTGTTGTTATTTACGATTTAAAAAAACGGTTATGTAAAGCAAATGACGTCCAATGACAGCTGTTTCACGATGAATATATTACTGTAGGTAACAACGAAATACTGTACTACCCACGCCATCTCTTGTAAAACGCTACGAATTAATTCCAACACCTAATAGATCGATTTTCACTTTTTATAAATCATTTTTATAGCGTAAAATTATTGCGTATAATTGTTAATAAGCCAGGTTAGTTGAAGAATGATATATTTGTATACTCTCGTACGCTCTCAAAGTCAAAAATTCGTTTTGACTTCGAGGACGGTATTCCCTAGCGGTAAATAGCGCCAACGGGCGCCGCCCTAACTAACTGTAGGGAATACCGTCCTTCTTACCCCTAGCCCCCCGCGTCCACGAAACGAATTTTTGACTTCGAGTGTACTTCTGATGTTGGCTTTCCAGTAACGAGAAGTTATATGAATATAAGCTATAATTAATAGTCGTATTCCAGCAATATATGACAGATAGTACATCTCATGTACTACCCATTGATAGCCTGTAGAGTTACATATTTTGTATTGTGATTGGCTGCTCTTCTATGAAATGACCAATCGCATCTAATTTTCTCCCACTGTTATTTCATCACCACAGTTTTCTTGTGCAAGTTGGAACATGCACTGATTAACGGTTGCTGAGCTATAAGTAGTACAAATCATTGTTTTCTCAATAGAATAGAGTTATCCATTATAGTTATATAACAGAAACAGATTGTCAGGAGAAAGACTGCACAAGTTACTTTTTCTTAAATCATTAGATAATCATTTTTGGGACATGTAATTTTATCATTTCAACTACAGTACTACATTTAATGAGAAAAATATATATATGTAAAATAATATACTATGTATTTCCTCATAATATGTATTTACTAATAACATAATATGTATTTACACTTGTATTCAAATAAAGTTTTACGAATTAATTTTCATTATTTAATTTATCATTCTTCATTATTTAAATTATTATTAATTATCTTACACTATGTTATCAAACAGATTTTTTTTTGTTTTTTGCACTTTAAAAAGTTTAGAATCAGTTTTGAAATTCTTTTCTTTATAACGAATCGATCTTATGAGAATCGATCTTTTACGCTCGATCGTTTTACGAGTCGATTCTTTGCACAAAGATTCGAATCGATTCAAAAAATCGATTCTTTGGAAAAAAAATCCGCATCCTTAATATAATCTTTCTTTACCCAATTTCTTAACAATTCATTGAGTTGAGTTTCGACATTTTTGATGGGATTCTTTCTTATTTTTTCGTAAGTGAGAGGATCATTAAGTAAGCCGCTTATTTTTTCAACATAAACAGACCGGTCTAGCGCAACCGTCACACTCCCCTTGTCCGCACGTGTAAATACCACAGACTTCTATATACTACACTTCTATATACTATAGAAGTCTGTGGTAAATACTATGTTTGGATGATTCTTCTGGAACTCGGAAGCCTGCTTTGTTCTATCAAGTAAAACGCGTTCTATATCACTTAACTTGGGCTTTGAAGTTAAAAAATTATTCAGAGATAATATTAAATTAGCTCTGGCGGTTTCCACAAGTTTTCTCTTACAGTGTCTAACGCTATTTTCAAAATCCTTAATAACCTCGATAAGATCTCTCTTGTCGGTGCTTGGCAGATTAAAATTTCTTCTTAACTGTAGTAAACTTATTACCGAATCAGGAATGTTGCAATTACTTAAGTTGACAAACTATTTATGTTTAATGTCAAAAAATTGCCTTTTTCCTATCTTTTTCTTTTTCTTTCTTTATCAACACCTGTGCTCTCTCCACTTCTTTCTTTTTCAGTTTCCTTAGCTCCTCCACACTCTAATTCTTCTTTTCCTGTAATATTTCATCTTATCCTTCTTCACTCCGACATCTCTCTCTTGTCTGCCGCTTTGCTTTCAATCTCCTCTCATCTCGAAATCTCGCTTCCTTCTTTCCTCTCTAATCTCTCCTCAAAATTCTATGCTCTTTGGTCCTCACTTGCCCTCAGTAATTCTCTTTGTTTTCTTTCCTCACCAAGGATCCCAACATTTTCCAGTCTACTTCCAGAACTCATCTTATATACCTCTCTTGTAATTTCTTCACTTTCTTCCATTCCTTTTATCTCCAAATTAAAAAATTGTAATGAAAATTATGTAATAACAGTTATGTAAAAAAGTTCTTCAAAGTGTTAGGTATGTGTATATGAGATCTTTAATCTTCAGTAACTTTCTATTTATCAATTGGAAATTGTTTGTAAAAAAAGTTTTTTAATTTAATAAACTATGGTAAATATAAAAAACTGGAAGTTTCTTACATCATATCATCACATAATTATAACTGTACTTAGTTCTACACATGGAATATATCTTTTGTTTTCTTTTGCGACACAATGAAGTTTTCAATTAAATTGCGGTTGATTCTGCGAAGTTCTAAACGTATTGCGCACAAAGCACAAAAGTTCTATTAACTTCACAGCAAGATGTTCAGTTCGTAAGCTGATGGAGCCGTTAACTATGGCAGAGTTGTATATAACAGCTGTACTGTTGCAATCTTGCTTGTGAATATTATAAATATTGTGAATGTTATGAATGTATATACAGACAGGAGCATTTAAAGCTATTGCACGTAACAAAATTTTAGTTGTAATTGTAAGCAAATTAACCAATTACAAATCAGCATTCTAGCTAATATAAGGTAATACTATAATTGATTAAATTACTTACAACTTTACGGCTAATAATTTTTCACGTGCAATAGTTCTTACATTTTTACATATAAAGTTGCAGTAATAATGCCTCAATAACATCTTAACAATAAAAAAAGTATAACTTTATGTATAAAGTCATTACCGTTTCTGTCTAATTTTCCACGCTGATGAATAGTTTGCCTTTTGAATTTTCATTATGTGTATTTTAAGCGATCCTAATTAACTATTCTTTTTGATCAAAATTTTTCGTGTTTACAGATCGATGCAGTCTATTGATTAATGACTCAATTTTGCAAGTAATAAAGTTACAACTAGTAACTTTATTAGTAGTTGTAGTTTCCTTTTTGAATTTACTTTCTATGCTAATTTATAATTTTCCATAATGTCTTACAATACAATATATGAGTCGATAAATCAGCGTTTGAATATTCATATATTATAAGTCATACATTATAACTTTGCACATAATTTGCATATAATTTTCGAAGTTTAAACTTCTTCAAAAATGTATTGTACATTACATACATTCGTGTATGTTTCATTCGATTACCTGTATAATAATTATGTATTCATTCGCGTAATTCTTACGTAATCCTAACTAAAGTTTAATACTTTTGAATTCTGATATGAAATTTTAAAGCTGTTGTTTGCAAAGCATTTTTGCATGTGCATAAGGTTTGTTTGATTAAATTTGCATAGCGTAAACGTAAAATATCGATATAGTGACGTAAAAAGATATAAAATTAGTATGCAGCGAATCCGAATTTTCTCGGTGGGTGTTTTCCGCTCGTCAATATGTGTTGACTTGTTTGTCGTGTGGCAAATATTTCGCGAATATTTTGTTAGCGATATTTTACTATTACTCGCAGAATCGTGAGCTATTTGACGAGAGCGTCGCAGGATCACAACATATTTAATAATGTCTGTTGTTGTCTATTATAGTTCAATGTCCCAAGTTTTAATCACATTTTTCTTAAGAAAGTAAATTGGCCAATGTGAGTAACAAGAGATTTTGTTACGACAGTGAGAGGAACAACACGTTTTTAATTTATTTTTTCGTATTGTTAACACGTCTGTAACGTACATCTAAGCGAGTCTAATGACTTTTTATATTCAATTGTGATTTTTTGTACATCTTTTCTGAAGATGATCCCAACCGAAGATCGAAACATAAAACTTTTTCGAATAAACATAATTTTAAAAAAAGTTTGACACACCGTTAACTGTGCCTAGGCTCACATTGGTCAATTTACTTCCTTAAGTTTTTTACAAAATTGGAGTCTTTACTCGATTTACACTGACATTTTTCTTTTTTTTTTTTTTTAGACGGACTATAATCGACATCTCGAGCAACTTTTCGAACGCGTAGCGACTTTGCTTATTGACAGCCTGCGAACAACATTAAATATCGACGAATTGGAGCAAGTTGCCGAGCTACATAAAGGTCTAATACAAGTGCGACGTTTATTTGGTAAGTGAAATGTCTCTCTCTCTCTCTCTCTCTCTCTCTCTCTCTCTCTCTCTCTCTCTCTCTCTCT